ATGGGAGCGCGATCGTGGGAGAGATGAAAAGGGACATAATGGAGAGAACGCGCGGAGAGGGTGAACGGGAAAACAAAAAGAGAGGAGGAAGAGAGGAGATCTCTTTCTCCCTTTGCTCGTGTACATCTACCGAGCGTACCGCGCGTAATAAGTGGCTTTGAATGTCTGAGAGGAGCCGCCAAACGAGACGCGGCTCGTTGCTCCTCGTCGTCGTCGTCGTCTTCGTCGTTGTCGTCGTTTCCCATTTTTTTCTCCTACGAGGAACGACGGGAAAACAGGGACGTGACACGTCGGGAAAACATGCGTCAAGTGTATTTTCGACCTTGATGATGAAAGCGTTCGTCTTACACGGGCGAGATCTTGCGCAGTTACGCACGTTGCTTTTCATATCGCGCTCATAAAATTTTCGCTCCGCAAAACGCGGACGGACGTTCTTTTTGGTCGTGCGTGTAAATTTGAATTTCTCTCCGGAAAATGTGAATTTTTTTGTGCGAAACGTACTTCTCTCTCTCTCTCTCTTTCTCGCGCGATATGAATAATTCAAATTTTCGAGTAACCTCGTTATCGTTTGCTGTTTCCGACGCGCTGTTTCAGCTTTTGCCCGCGAGACGGAGAAGACGAAGAAGTAGACGCAGAAAGTGGCCGCGAAATAATAACAACAACTGAACCGAAAGGTGGACGGTTAACTGCTAGGTCCGCTTAGAGCAGACTCACTTGAAATAATCGGCCAATTTGCCGCGAGCGCTTATTATCGGTCGCAGAAAAAGCGGCGTGAAACAACAACAAGCGTCGAGAAAACCGATTCGGAACAGAAGACTAGGGCGTTTCGCCCGCGGGATGAGCTCTTTCGAAGAGAGTACATACTCCTGCACACGTCTCTAATAAATATTCCTTCGCGTGCGAACTCATTACCGACACGTCCGTTCGAGAAACGCTATTGTTTTTTTTTTCTTTCGCAATTGTAAGAACGGAAACAAATCCTCAACGCCGCAGCGAGTGATCGCGAGAGGACGAAATGCTAATTTTTTGATCCTTTACGGAGGATTAAATCATTCCACGAAAGAGAACCCGAGTCGAAATTTAGCGTCTACATTGAACCTCAATTCCTCTTTTTTTATGTAGGAGTAAGAGAGAAAGTAGATCCTACTTCGACGCTGCTATACATCCGAAATTTCCTTTTTTCCTGCTAAAGTTTTAAAGTAGGGTTTAATTCTCAGATCAGACTGCGCATTGCAGGCTCTGATAGGCTCAAAGTACACCGAAAAAATTGTATTCTTGTTTTGAGGAGATATCCCACTTACTTTAAGTATATTTTATACTAAAATAGGCGCCAAGAAGAGTTTCTTATTTTAAGAGCAAAATCCTCTAAATAGTAATATTGATAAGAATATATAATATATACTGATTAAAATATAAAAAGCCTCTATAAAAAAACATATATATCTCACTATCGCGCGCGAAAAAGACTATATTCTTAAATTAAGAATATATTCTTAAATTAAGAATATATTCTTAAATAAAGAATATATTTTTAATTTCAGAAAAATATCATCTAAAATCTTTAAGATTTTTTAAGTATAAAATCTTCTACTTACGAGAATATAATTTTTTCGGTGTAGGAGTAAGAAAAAAAGTAGATGCTACTTTGACGCTGCTTTGACGTCCGAAATTTCCTTTTTTCAAAAATTGAGGTTCAATGTAGACGCTAAATTTCGACTCGGGAAGTTGAAAACGAGGGATTGTCGTCGTAAACGAGAAGAATCGACGAACTCTCCGCGCGCGGGAGAAAAAAGTGCAGCGCGCGGGATTTTACGAGATGGCGGACCGTTAACGGCCGCCGCGCACGTTGCCGAATAAACTCCGAGAAGTTCCGAAAAATTATTATCCGTCGTAAATCCTTCGTTTGTTCTCCCTTTCCTCCAGTATAAACATTTGAGATCGTAATTTTCGCAAAAAAACAAAAAAGAAAAAACCGAACAGCGTGCGAAACAGCCGTAAAACGGGAGAAGTGCGGCAGCTTCTATGTGACGCGTTGAAATTTATTTTCAATTAGATAGCGAGAGGCTGAATCTCTTGTTCTTTATCGTTCCAACTCACGTCGGCAAAAGACCGATTCGAAGGCGTTTGCATTTATCGCGAGCGCATCTTGTTCGCGATCGGAAGAGACGAGAGCGCATCTATTCCCGGTGGCGTTAATTAGCGTGGTAAAGTGACTGATATCATCTTGTTAATCCAAACGAGTCCGTTTCTCTCTCTTTCTCTCTCTTTTGTTTTCTCCTTCTCTTTCGCGAGCGGTAAATTATTTCTTACCGGAAACGCAAGCTCATCGTTGTCGTCGTTCTCAGCTTTGTTCTGCTCGCGTAATCGCAAGATCGCGCGGAATGGAAATTTCGTCGGATTACATCGCGTCGGTGTGTTAGATAGGGTGTGTTAAATTGCCTCGGTCATTCAATTCCCCCCCCCCCCGTCTGCGAGGCGTGTGATGAGTCGCGCGATGAGTTCCGCGAAAATGTGTCAACGAATTTCCTCGCAACAACATCGTCGTCGTAACAAAATCTGTTCGGAGTCTCGCGAATTTCTCTCGAAAGTTGCGACGTTTGTAAATACACGTAAACAAAATAGGAAAACAAAAATACGACAATTTTGTTATCTCAAAAATTATCTCCAAAAAGTTATCTCTACAAATTGCAATTCGATGAATTTTTTAATTTTCTTTTAACGGAGAGCTCTGTGAGAAACGAGCTTTCCAGCTTGAAAACTTCTGCCGAGGGACTGCCCATTACTCGCGCATCCGCGCGTAATTCTTTGTACGGTACTTTTTAATCACGTGACAAAATTTAGCGTCTACATTGAACCTCAAGTTTTGAAAAAAAGAAATTTTGGACGTATAGCAGCGTCAAAGTAGCATCTACTTTTTTTCTTACTCTCCTACACCGAAAAAATTGTATTCTTGTTTTGAGGATATCCCACTTACTTTAAGTATATTTTATAGTAAAATAGGCGCCAAGAAGAGTTTCTTATTTTAAGAGAAAAATCCTCTAAATAGTAATAGTGATAAGAATATATACTGATTAGAATATAAAAAGCCTTTATAGAAAAACATATATATCTCACTATCAAAAAAGACTATATTCTTAAATGAGGAATATATTTTTAAAAAAGAATATATTCTTAATTTCAGAAGAATATCATCTAAAATCTTGAAGAAGATTTTTTAAGTATAAAATCTTCTACTTACAAGAATATAATTTTTTCGGTGTACATAAAAAAAGAGGAATTGAGGTTCAATGTAGACGCTAAATTTCGACTCGGGAAGGCTGAAAAAACAACACGTGACAAAAGTCACGTGACTTTACTTCAGTCACGTTTTTAAGCGCGACTCTGTCGCGCGTGAACTTGGCGCAAGTTACCACCGTGCCTCTTAATTAGCCGATCGCAACGAGAAAGCGCAATTAATAAATCGGAAAGAGAGACGAGAGAGAGAGAGAGAGAGAGAATAAAAAGTAGAGACGCGGGATCTTCTCTGTTATCGCACCCGTGCGTAGACGCGCGTGAAAAGAGCGCGAGAGATAAGATTACGCGACCTGTCTCGTGAAAGAACTAATAGTCGTCCGTGACAATGGGTGATGCGCGCGCTCGCGGCGCTTCCGGTTTCGGGACGAAAATAAGAAACTTTATTTATAACTCGTTTTCTGAGAAAGATAAACGGGAGTTTGTGTGTTTGCGTACTTTATCACTCGCTTCTTTACGTCCACGCGTCACCTGGCGGTCTCGGCGCTTTGAAGATTCGGAAGGAGAGAAGCAAAAGAAGAAACAAAAAAAAAAAAAACACAATTACTTACGACGCTCGGGTGGTTCGCCGTTTGATCGGCGGCGACAATTAATTAAAGAAGAGTCAAGTCGCGGTCGCGTGACCGAAAACTCGGAGAATCGTTGTCGAAATATGTCACGCGTGATGTCGCGGTACAAGAGTCGCGTTGTGTTCTGAATTGATTAAAAAAAAAAACATTAACATTAAACGATTGTCGCAAAAGAGTTTGCGTGCGAGACAATTAACGGTCTTGAATATTGCACAAAAAGTTTATTCCCGTTTTTGAACGTAAAAATTAACACACACGTTACGTCGATTATCGATGATCGAATTTCGTTACGAATAACGATGACGATGATGATGTTTCACCTTCGATGCACCTGACGAGACGCGATAATACACGGGTTTTGTGTATCTTTTTTTTTTTTTTTATACATCAAACGAACCGCAACCGACAGGATGTAAGTGTGTGCACGTCAAGACGAAAAGCGCATGAGAGAGAGAGTCGAACACGGACTTTCGATTATACGCACTATAAATTTTCAAGCCACGCGCCATTAACCCGTCGATAGCTGAAAATCCGGCCGGCGAAGGAATCGACGAATCCTTTTTCGCCGGAAGGTCGGTTGAGTTATTATTTCGCGAAGACGTTTCCGATGCTCCGCGCGCGATTGCGTGAATAATTAGCTGCAACCGAGACAGAGATATATATAGTATATAAAAAAAGATTTATATAGTATATACACGGAAAAAAAAAGTTTGGCTATTATATGGTTAGCAAAAAAAATGGTTGACTCTACGAAATATTTTGTTTCATCAACAAAATGTTTTGTTTTGGCGAAACAAAAATTTTAATAAACTTAACAAATGTTTTTTTGCTGGACATATAATAACTAATTGCTTGCTATTCTAGCAAATATTTTTTTTCCGTGTATATGTATATATATGTATATATGTATAGTATATATATATATGTAAAAAAAGATTTATATAGTATATATATGTATATAATAGCCAGCAATTTTCTCCGCCCGTCTCTCCTTTTCTCTTCTACCTCCGTGAAACAATAAATTTCCGCACTACTTGAGACCCTCGCGAGGGGGGTGGGGAAGAAAGAGATTAAAAAAAAAATTTCCCGGATTAATCGCTCGGCGCAATAAAAACCCGCGATTGGAAATTAATAATTTTATCTCTTAATAAAATAAAAGATATTAAAATAACTATCGCGCTAACAATTGAGAGAAGAAGAAGAAGAAGAGGGCGACCTTCGGGCGGCAATTTATTATCAGCGAGTATAACCGAGGCTCGAGAGGCGAAACGGATGATTTTTGGTTGCACAGACAATACGTCGTAAATGAACGAAATTACACGCGACGCGTCATTAAAAACAGAAAACGTCTTTGAAAGGCCGTGACTGACGAGGCCGAGAAGAGGAGCACAAGTCCGTACTCGGGTTAGGGTACATAAAGAAATCGCGGCGGATAGGATTGCTCTCGTCTGACAAACGTCATCGCGGCCTCCACAACCGATCCGAATCCGATATACGATGGGAGCTCTCAGTCTCGCTCTTCCCTTGACGGTTTTCGTCTATCTGTTGCCATCGGAGACGGTGAGTTTCTTTTTTATTCGAACCCTCTGCTCGTTTACGCGACCGTCGGTTTGTTTGTTTTTTGTTTTCTTCTTCTCAGAACAATGCTGATCTCGGGAAAGTGGCCACGGCGATAACCGATCAATTGAACAATCTCGTCGGCAACGTTGCGAAAGAAATCGACAAGGACGAGATCGAATTCGAGCTTCTGAACGATTCGCCGGAAAACCCGGTGGAAATTAGACCTGTGGCAACGAGAGACGTAGCATCGAAACCGAACGTTGGTTTCCAGTTGAAGGGAAAAATGAAGAAGCACGGTGACACGACGCTTCAGCTCGATACTCAAGCCAAGTGGTTGAATCGCGACGACGTTTCGGACGAACGTAGAAATTTGAAGGAAATTTTATCGAAGGAGGAACTGGTCAAGAATCTCAAAGTCGCGCTTGCGGAAGCGAACGAAAAGAACGCGGCCGCCTTTCGGATATACGTGCCCGATATAAAGAGCCCGTCGACCAGGAGGAAGGTCGCGGGATTGGACGGGAACGACAACTTCGACTACGGCCGCGCGAAGGGGAATTACGTTCTGCTTTGCAGAAAACCGGCCGAGGACGGTTCGATGCAGAAGCTGCGCGGCAAGGACTGCGTGAAGCTGCTGAGGAACGAGCTTTATCTCGAGCACAGCCTGAAGAATCGTAAGGACGGCACGACCAGTCTCATGGGGCTGAAGATCGGATCGAGGACCAACAGCGTGAAGGACTCCGAGAGCGACGAGATCAAGTAAAAAAAAAACGATTTCGAGATCGACGACGCAGTTCGAGCTACATATTGATATTCATGTGTGTCCGCAAAGAGAGAAAATACTAATAATATTAATTGCATGTGTTTCTTTTTGTTTTGTTTTGTTTTTTTCGACGGAAAATGAAATATTTCGATATTTAAAATAAAAAAAAAAACTTACAACAGAAATTGAAGTTGGATCAAAACAAAATTCAAAGTCTCTCTCGGACGTTCGCGCCCGAGCGAGTTTTTCGCATGTATATACACGGAAAAAAAAATAGTTTCCACCACAGCTAAGTACGGTTTGCTGAACTAAATTTGCTGCTGTAGCTATAAAATTTCCTGTTACGTAGAGAAACAGTTTGCTGATATTCCTAAATATATTTCGACATAATAGCAAAATATGTAGATCTTGTAGCTAAAAAGCTTAGGTGTCCATAATTCTACCAAAATTAGGTGTGGTTCCTAAATTTTAGGTAGAATTATGCACCGAAAAAATTATATTCTTGTAAGTAGAAGATTTTATACTTAAAAAATCTTCTTCAAGATTTTAGATGATATTCTTCTGAAATTAAGAATATAGTCTTTTTCGATAGTGAGATATATATATTTTTCTATAGAGGCTTTTTATATTTTTATCAATATTACTATTTAGAGGATTTTCCTCTTAAAATAAGAAATTCTTCTTGGCGCCTATTTTAGTATAAAATATACTTAAAGTAAGTGGGATATCTCTTCAAAACAAGAATACAATTTTTTTGGTGTACGTGTATATATATATATATACACCAAAAAAATTATATTTTCGTAAGTAGAAGATTTTATACTTAAAAAATCTTCTCAAAAATTTTAGATGATATTCTTCTGAAATTAAGAATATATTCTTTATTTAGGAATATAGTCTTTTTCGACAGTGAGATATATATGTTTTTCTATATAGAGGCTTTTTATATTCTAATCAGTATATGTTCTTATCAATATTACTATTTAGAGGATTTTTCTCTTAAAATAAGAAACTCTTCTTGGCGCCTAGTCTAAAATATACTTAAAGTAAGTGGGATATCCTTAAAACAAGAATACAATTTTTTCGGTGTACAAGATCTACATATTTTGCTATTATGTCGAAATATTTAGGAATATCAGCAAACTGTTTCTATGTAACAGGAAATTTTATAGCTACAGTAGCAAACCGTACTTAGCTGTGATAGAAACTATTTCTTTTTTCCGTGTAGTTTTCGCTCTTCGTACACAACCGGGGGACTTTAAGCATGACGCGCAAGACCTTTACGCACCCTTTTATAAATTCCACATTACCCTTGCCCGTAAAGAAAAAGGATTTCAGATCCGGTTCGTAGGTCAATTCCCTCGACTCGAAGGTTGGAGAGCGTGTGACAGAACGCCGTTAAGACACAATAGATCATTTCAAGTGTGGTTGCGGCATATAATTAATCTTTGCAACGGCAGCCGTGCGAAATATTTGCGGCGATCGGCGGACTTCGCGCGCGCGCGCGTAGAACAAAATTCTAAAGAGATTTTCCGCTCGCCTTTTGTCTTCTTCTTCGTCCGAGCGTGTCGATTGTGTAGCTTGTAAAGCTAGCAAGAAGAATCGCAAAAAGAGACAGATCGCGAAGTCAGTCGTCGGGACGGGAGTTTCCGTCGCGGTACGTTACGTAATCCGCGTTACTGTGTCCGATAATTCTTCGAGTTGGACAAAGTTTGTCTTTTGCACAACGACGCGACGATCGAAGTCGCGTCGTTTGTTGGAGGGTTACGTGATCGCGTCTATTAAGGCGCGATATATAGGACTCTCTCTCTCGCGTATAGACTCTCCGCGCGTACAACAATGCAACGCGAGATCGTTGCGCGATTGTTGTTGGTTGTTGTTTGCGCGAAGCGAAACCTCGTTCGGTCTCTCGCGTTCTCGACGTTGTTATAATTAACGCGATGCAACGAGACGTCGAGTGCGATCGGAAAGAAAGTATTCTTCCTAATTGCGACACGTCTTCGTTACGAGATCGCGCGATTTCTCATCTCTTCCAGAGAAGAAGCGAAGCTTTCGTTGCGCAAAGTTTTTTTTTTTGAAAAGATTTCGACGTTATCGATTGCGTCGAAAATATACCATTGCGCGAAAGAATAAAAATTCCGTGCGAGAAACTGGAACAGATACTTTTGTGATCGTCGCCGAAGTGTTCCGGCTTGTGCGCAAAAGCTGTACAAGTGCCGGCGCGACGGCGACAATGTAACAATTGGGGCAGAAGCCCAATCTGGGAGGTTAACTCGGCTGGAAATACACTCGATTGACAAAGACGTGGCTAGGTACTTTGTTCGGCGACGATTCATGTGTGTTTGCGCTTAATTGTTTCTAGTTGAATACAATTTCAAAAGTTGTTTCACGATGAAAAGCTTTCGCCGCAATCGACGCGACAAAGGACTCTCCGATTTTTAATTCCACGTTTAATTGATTGTAATTAAAAAAAAAAAAAAAAAAGATCGAAAACTGTTTCGAACTTTTTTTTGCGACGAGTTTCGTCAAATTTCGAAGAGATTTTTTGCTTCGAAAAATTAACGCAAAACGCATCGGATCGACGTTTGCGCGCGATTGCGCAAACAATTATCGATTGCAATATTAATTATTTTTTGCTCGACCGAAATTCGTTGCTCGAGAGAAACGACGTGTAAAAACAATCCACGCGTATTTTTAAACACGTCTCTCGCTTTGTCTCGACGATCGATAAATTTAATTACATCGCGAGCGCGGCCATTCTTTCACCAGAAGGAGAAAAAAAGTGTGTCGAAGGAAAAACTCGCTTTATTGCCCGAAATCGCGCTACTGCGCGATCGATTTCCTCCCTCTCCCTGTTATTATTGCTCTATCTTCTTGAAATTTATTGCTACGATAATGCGATAAGATTGCGCGCGACAAGAGATATTACACTTCTGTTTCTTCTCGCCGATAAATTCCGCCGATAAGCCTGGTGTTACACACATCACATCACATCCAATCGTGTTTTCTTTCTTTACTAATATATGTAACAACAATTACGCGATCTCACGAGGAATGTTAAAATTCTCTCCGACGAGCGGAAAAAACGCGCGCGCGCGCGCGGGAGGCGAAAGTTGCATTTCCGGCGAAACAACGCGGCGCGACCGGTCGAATGGAAAACCGGTAGAATAGAACGGAATGTTAAAAAAAAAGTCTCTCTAATCTAGATCGCGCGCAAATAATTTAGGTGAATTTGTTTTGTTTTTTTTTTTTTAATATAAAATCCCGTGTATTTCACACACCGGGAAAAAAAGATAAATCGTCGAGCGAACTGTGTTTCGATCGGCGAAGATTCTCGAGAATGTGTGTGTTTAATTCACACGGCACACATTTTTTTGCGAAGTGTGTCACGGACTTTATAATCTCGCGAATTATTTAATAAATATTACGCGATACTCGTCGACGTAGAAAAAACCTACACAAAATATATATATATATAGAACGATCGTCTCCTCGAGCAGAGAGACCGCGCCTCTAAAACTCGTTAAAATCGACGATGACGAGAATTCGATCGGCAACCGACGCATCGACCGGTCCCTCCTTTCCGGGCCGATTGAGCGCGCGCGCGCTTAACGCCGCACACCGTATATATATTAAATTTCGCGAATGAAGGCGAAACCGGATGACGGGAGAGACAATTCGCGAAAATTGCATCTGGCGCGCGTAAGAGCCCCGGCGACGCACGTAGGCAGCAGCAGAGAGAGAGAAGCCCTTTTTCTTCTGCCTACGTGCACGACCGACTGATTATTCGACACGACGGGCTCGTCGCCGCCCCACGGCATTCAGCCGTCTGGACGTTTTATGTAACACGATTCTCGTAATCGCTATCCTCCGCCGGCGTGACCGATACCAAAGGATAGGCCTCAAAGATGGCCTCTCCTCTCTCTCTCTCTCTCTTTCTTTTTCTCTCTTTCTCTCACTCGCTCTCTTTTCTTCTCTCTCTTTCTCATCGCTGTCAAATTTGTGCGGTTCCTCGCGCGACAAATATCGCCCTCGCCGACGACGGTAATACGGTTTCGCCTCGCGATCGCGAGATCGGAATTAAATTTAACTAAAGTGCGTACTCACGATAAGAACGATGGTCTTCGAGGAAGTTGCGCACGGGGTCCAGCGATCGGCTATTCTTCCACCACCTGACGTCTCCGAGGTGTCTGGCGCGCGCGCCACTTGCTGCTGCTGTTTCGCCGTTTCTGAAGAAAGCGTTTCAACGCTCAGCGGCGGGGTCGAATGCACGAAAGATCGAACACGTCCGGAACGACAGACGGGGACGTGGATGCGCGGGAGTAGTCGTGTAGGGAGGAAATGCGAGCACCACCACCGCGACAACCGCGTAAACAACCGCGGTTCTTACAACCCGGGGGACACCACCGCGCGTACACGAATCGACCGCGATCAGTTGTCGTAAACACTGGTCGCCATGCTGCCGAGGCACCTGTCAATACGGCTGCGCGCCGGCGCGAGCGGCTAGTGGCGCCAGCGCGCGGCCGCCCGACGTACCACTTGCTCGCCGAGCAGTCGGCCATTTTGTTCGGGATCGTCGCGCGGCGAACACGGTTCTCCGTCACGGCCGGTGTTTCTTTCTCGCCTCTCCGATGGGGGATCGATTGTTTTTCAGGTATTATACAGTCGGTACGTTATCCGGTAGCAAAGTCGCGTTATCTCGCGTCGGGGTGAAATCGCGCAAACACGCGATGTTTCACTGTTTCCGGAACGGTCGAAGTAGCGTCTCTCGCTGTGTCGAAATCTACGCGCGCGTAGAACAAACGCCGGTAGTGTCGAACAAAAAACGTTTACGACGGTCGTCGTTTGATTTGACGCGTTCGCGATCGCGTTTAGTCGCGTTTATTTTCACGAAATTCGCGGTTTTATTAGCGCGATGAGTGTTTCGAAACGATGTTTCCGAGGAGGAGAAAGTCCGGAACGCGCACCGATCTGAAGTTGGCGCCTATCGAGCCGCGGATTGGAACACGCCGTGATGGTAAGTTCGAATTCGCACTTATCATCGTACAGTATTCCAGAAGTCTGTTTCTCGATTGTTGCGCTTTTTTTGTTGTTGTTTTTTATTTTCAATGCGATCGCAATGAGAAAACAGATAATTTGTGTTAATTAATTTTTTTTATCTCGCGCATATTTACGAACAAAGTGATTTTTAAAATGAAAACAAGTAAAAGTTCAAATATATTTGCGTGTTTTTTGTCGGAATGTCACACAAAGACGGAAAAAATAAATATATAACATATCTATGATATATTATCACGCGTGTATATATAATATATACATATATATATATATATATGTATCTATATATATATATATAATTTATACATCATTTATATATCTTAAAATATACATATATGATTTTTATTGTTGATGTTGTGTGAAAGCGTACACGGTGTGTTAGTCGATAGAGAGAAACAAAAGGAGAGAGAGATTCTGGCATGTGTATAATATTTATATATAATATATATATGTATAATTGAGATAATAAATTAAGATTACACAATAAAATAATAATAATAATAATAATAATGAATGAACACACATCACATATCGAAAAATGAGATATGTAGCAGCACAATAAATTCCCCTGGAACAAAATTATTGTTGCTCTGGCAACACATCGCGTCGCGATGCAATAATATGTATATATATATATATATAATATGTATAATATATTTTTAAGAACGACGGGCGCAATAGTGTGTGTGAAAAAAAAACAAATGGAATCACGTCATACAATGCAATGATTAATGCTACAATAAATAATAATGAGTCTATTACCGTCAAAGTATGTACGTGCGAAGATTATATCGAAAAGGACTATATCGATACGCGACTGGCAATCCTTTCTCCATATATTTTAGAAAAATATTGATTTCGATTTTTTCTCAAGTAAAAATTATCCGAACGATTGCTCATTCGTCGATGTTTTTGTTTTTGTTTTTTTTTTTTTTTTTTAACGCGCAATACCTGATTAATTATCGCGAAGCAGCGAAATTTTTTTGGCGCGGATCACTTCGCGGCGCTATTTTCCGAGAAAGAATCGGCAATCGCGATAATATTATCGTAGAAATAGCAGTAATAATACAATAACAATGAAAATTGCGACTGGCAAGATGCTCGTTTTCCGTCTGTGGAAATTTGTTTCGGGTCGATTGATGCGGTCGATATTGAACGTTCGAAAATTTTTTATCGCAAATTATTCTCGCGTATCGCGCTCTATTATCTCGTTCGAGCGGCGTGATAAACATTTCGTGAATTGAAAATTTATCGAATAACGTGTGATTGATTCGTCGAGCGATTGAAAACATTTCGAGAGGCGCTCGTAAACAACACAGACAAAAAAATTTTCTGTCGGAAAATTCTGTGCAATGTTAAATCGAATTTCACCGATCGATCGCTCTCTCGAGTCGTTTTCTCTCGTCGTCGTGTTAATTATCAGTAATATCAATAGAGATAATTTTTCGGCTCTTCCGTAGGTTGGCCGCACACCCCGTGATACTTCTTCGTTACGAGACTTCGGCTGCGGCAGTTCTCGATCTCCAGGAAGCACTCGTTGCTGTACGTCATCCCGTCGGTGCCGCACACCGGGTCGTAATAAGGCGGACAGATCTTCTGGCAGCCGCGGAAAAGAAATCCTTGGACGCATCGCTTCATAGGCACCACGTAAACATGTTTACTGAAACGGGAATCAAAGGTCAGTTTTTTTTTTCTCGCTGTTTGAGAGTCGAAATAATTAAACTACTACGGTAAAAACGGACGTTTTAAAAACGACGAAATATCGCGTAAATTAATTGCATCTCGACACAACTGCACCGAAAAAATTGTATTCTTGTTTTGAGGATATCCCACTTACTTTAAGTATATTTTGTACCAAAATAGGCGCCAAGAAGAGTTTTTTATTTCAAGAGGAAAATCCTCTAAATAGTAATATTGATAAGAATATAAAAAGCCTCTATAGAAAAACATATATCTCACTATCAAAAAAGACTATATTCTTAAATAAAGAATATATTCTTAAATAAAGAATATATTCTTAAATAAAGAATATATTGTTAATTTCAGAAGAATATCATCTAAAATCTTTAAGAAGATTTTTTAAGTATAAAATCTTCTACTTACAAGAATATAATTTTTTTGGTGTATATATATATATATATACACGTACCGAAAAACTTGTATTCTTGTTTTGAGGAGAGAGATATCCCACTTACTTTAAGTATATTTTATACTAAAATAAGCGCCAAGAAGAATTTTTTATTTTAAGAGGAAAATCCTCTAAATAGTAATATTGATAAGAATATATACTGATTAGAATATAAAAAGCCTCTATAGAAAAACATATATATATTTCACTATCGAAAAAGACTGTATTCTTAAATAAAGAATATAATCTTAATTAAGAATATCATCTAAAATCTTGAAGATTTTTTAAGTATAAAATCTTCTACTTACAAGAATAAAATTTTTTCGGTGTGGTTTTTGCCGCACATTTGTGTAATCGTCTCGACATTGAAGTTTTGTTTTTTGCTGTTACATTCGATGAACACACAAGCGTGTCGAACGCGTTAGAAAGCGATCGGAAATAGAGAAGATCGCTCGTTTGAAAAAGAGAAATATAGGTCGCGCAAAAAGACGCCGACGACGTTCTGACTTTCAGGTTTGCCTCAATTGTGTGTTCAATAACACGCGCTCGCGGGAAGTAGGATACTTTCCTTTTGCACGTTTGAACCGCGCGGCGTCAAAAATATCGCGCGCGGCAACCGCATGGAGAAAAAGAGAGAACTGGTTTGGTATTTCCCTAATGGGACGTTTATCGACGAATAAATCGCGCAAACGGACTCTTTCATCGAACACTCTCGCGACGCTCGGACTGACCGTTTCTCGAAGAATTTATCTGATAATTTCTTCAATAGAACGTTCTCTCAAATATATCGTGTGTTTGAAAACTTTAAAACGAAATTATTTCATTAAAAAGAAGATGCGATTAATTAACGCGAAGAGACTCTCCAGACACGCTTTTGAGAATTATAAATAAGAAATTGTAGTAATTAAAACCTGTGAAGTGAGAGGGGAGGATTTGCCCCCGGAGTATATCCTCTGGGGAGTAAAAGTCAAGCGCTTTTAATAAACTAACAAGGGTTAGTTTATTAAAAGTGCTCGACTGGGAGAGAGAGATATATATATATATATGGCATAGTTGTCGAACAAAAGCGTTGTAATTCTCTCTCCCTTCCTCCCCCCCCCCCCAAGTGGGGAACACGCGAATATGATGTCTCGCGGTCGGACGGGGCTCACCCGCAATTGTCCCTCTTCATCTCGCACTCGTTACGATAGAGCTTGTTGTCGGAACCGCAAACAAACTGACGTTCCCCGCTGCAGATCTGGTTGCAGAGCGCGGTGGTGCGACAATGTTGCGCCGGAACTTGAACCACCCTCTGGCCGCAGGTCTCACGCCGCAGATGGCACAGGGACCTTGAACGCAATATATACGGGTTGCACATGACACATCGGCAAACACGCTTCCTTTGTTTCGCGAAACCGCTCTATTTAATAATTCCCTTTAACGACCACGTCTTCTAAAAACGTACGTTACGTTCAGCTCGAACCATCCCTCGAATGAATATCGACGTTCGTTCGAATCTTCGATTTTTTCGATCGCGATTTTAAGTCTTTAGCGTCAAATAATTTGAGGAAATTTTAATTTAAGAAAGAGAATTGTAATTAATTTATTAGGATGTAAAAAATATTATGTCTCGTGTTTTCGTTCGAATCAAGAATGAGAACGAGAGAGAAAAATAATGACTCGCGAAGGTCTCTCGCCGGCCCTAACGGCCGTTCGAGACTTATGCGCCCTTAAAACCGTCCGTCGAGGACGTTTAGGCCATCCGAATGACGCTCTTAATCACCGATAAACGTTGCCGTCGCTTCCACAAACTGGTTCCTCGGGTACTTCGGCGCAATCTTCGGGGCACTGTTCGGTCTCCTTCAAGGTCGTGCACTCGCCTACGTGAGCCAATTGGATGCCCTTTCTAAAACGCATCAAAGTAGCGACAAAAAAAATTTATTTATTTTTTTTATCGTCGGGTTAATTCAAAAACGTTTTGTCAAATTTGTTAGAAAAATTATTTTTTGTAAATTTGCGCGGGACGGCAGTTTTTTTTTTTTTTCCAAACGCACTTACAAGCAGGCCGCCACGTTCAAGTGGCACTGATTCGGGTACGTGTTCGCGTCGCTACCGCAAACCGGATCCACCTCGCTTCCGCACCTCTGCTGCTGCTTCATGCACTTCGTCAGCCGGGATCGACACTTCTCGAAGTCCGCTACCGTTACTTTTCGTCTCGCGTGTCTGTTGATTAACACTTAGCTTAAAGATTCGTGACCGGTTATTCGTGACGAGGAAGTGGCCAACTTTTACTTTTTGAGCGAGCGCGTTGTTTTTGATGATAAGTTATCGCACGATCACATTATACCTATCTCGATTAATATTACCTTCTCGCACGTAGATAAGCGATTGCGCTTTTTTACGCTACGTACGAACAAGACGAATACGCACCCGCAGTTCAGCATTTGCATCTCGCACTCGTTCCTGTATATATTTCCGTCCGATCCGCAGACCGACACTTCCGGCTCGTTCTTGCAGTCCAAGGGACACGCGTTGCTTCCGGACGTCCGTTCCCGAGACACGCAGAACGACATCGGCACCTCGAATACGTGCTTGCTAGAGAGAAAGAGAGAGAGTGAGTGAGTTCGAAAACACAGAGAATCAATAAAATCGCGACACAAACAATCGCGTGTCAACGATAGAATTTGTCGGAGACAATTTCGCACCGACAAATTTCGATCGAATCATTGAACCACGTAGTTATGTCGCGTATTGATAAATCAGCGTGCGATATCGAGGAACGAAATTAATAACGGAGGGAGAAAAGAAGATTAGCGTGATTGAGAGGCAAACGAGACAGCCTCGAGTGCGCTTCAAGCTGCGCGTAGGGTTTTGTAACGAAGATTATGGGGAAGTAATTCATAAATGAATTAAGAGCGCGTATGGGATGTGTGTGTGTGTTGCAACAAAAAGAGAAGGGAGAGGAGACGGATGGGAGGGGATTACGAGAGCGAGATTTTTGCCCAGAAGGGTCCCGACGGGGGATGATTTCAGCGCGGGATTTGTCGCGGTTTCGCTGCTTACCCGCAGTTCTTCGCTCGCATTTTGCAGGTGTTCGAGTATAAAATGCCGTCGCTACCGCAGGCAGGCTTGGCACCACGCCAGCACGATTCACGACAATGTCTTGTGGTCTGGCAGTGCTTCTTATTTGTACGCACGACGCCTTGGCTGCGAAAGGGCAAAGAAAAAAAATTCAAAATCGCTCCTGCGACCAGACTCTACCACGTAACTTTACGTTAGACTCTTTTTTTTTTTTTTTTTGCGCGCGCGCGCTGAATATATACCGTGTGTCATATTGTATATTTTACGAGACGGGAAACTAACTACAACAGAAACAGTCAATTCTTTTCGCGCGAAAAAAACATACACCGAAAAAATTATATTCTTACACCGAAAAAATTGTATTCTTGTTTTGAGGATATCCCACTTACTTTAAGTATATTTTATACTAAAATAGGCGTCAAGAAGAGTTTCTTATTTTAAGAGGAAAATCTTAATAGTAATATTGATAAGAATATATACTGATTAGAATATAAAAAGCCTCTATAGAAAAACATATATATCTCACTATCGAAAAAGACTATATTCTTAAAT